AAAAATGAATGAGAATGAGGCAGGATGGTGGTGATTGCATGCCGTCCTAACTGGGGTGGCTGAGGGAGTCCCCAGTCAGAGCCATTTAAGCAGAGCATTCAGGGAGATGAAGCATAGTTAACACTTCATTTATTTCTGAAGGTTACCATCTGCTCTTACGTGGGATTTACCTTCTCCGAGAATCCGTTTCCTCATACTTAAAACAGATAGTTACAAGGGGCTGTAGTGAGGATTAAGTATGGAATTACGTTGCAAAATGTATCCCATCAGCAATGCAAATGGTACCAACATTATAGGCCCCAGGTCCTTCGATGCTGGGAGGGGTGGTGTCTGTGGGCGCGGCAGGTACTGACTGTGTGTCTGTGTGCGCGTAGACATGGAGCACAACAACCCCGCCTACACCATCAGCGCTGCGCTCTGCTACGCCACCCAGCTGGTCAACATTCTGTCCCACATCCTGGATACAAACCTTCCCAAAAAGCTCTGCAACAGGCAAGTAACCGAGTGTGGCGACGGCGCCTTGTCGTGGACCGCGTAGCCTTCCTCTTGTGTTCTTCGTCACCTACTTAAACCTGTAACCAAACCACACGTGTTGCTGAGGCTCGGGATTGCTGAGGCCCAGTCCCTGCCGGGCAAATGCACACGAAGAGCGTGGGAGACCAGGCACTCGGGTGCGGCCAGTCTTTATGTGTAAGGACGGGACGTCTGAGTTTTGTTTTGTTTTTAAAACTCATGGTTTCAAATGAAAAAAACTAGGAAGGGTCTAGTCCAGTGGTCACAACCTGTGGGTCACAACCCCCTTTGGGGGTCGAATGGCCCTTTCACAGGGGTTGCTCAATTCATAACAGTAGCAAAATGACAGTTAAGTAGCAAGGAAAAAAAATATATTTGAGAATAATTGTCTGGTCGGGGGTCACCACCACATGAGGAACTGTGAAAGGGTTGAGGCCTGAGGAAGGTTGAGGAGGCCCGCAGGACTCCCGGCCCCCTCCAGTTAGCCTTGCAGCTCAGCAGGCATACAAGGGGACTTCAAAAAGTCTGCAGGACTTAGC